CCAGAACTTGTATGCTGTGTATTGGGTCAATTTCTGTTACTTTCACTCAGTATTTGAAAAGCATGGCTAAAAGCTCTTCCTTCTGCCTTTCTTTTTGCTTAGTGAAAGATGATGTAAGATGTTATCACAAGTTCAATTGGATAATTCTATCTTGAACTCCCATTTGGGACCACAGGATACAAGTGCCAATGAGTGTAGAAATGATACGGCAAGTCCATAGATTTTCCTTCCTTTTCTTTTTGTTACATTTCGCACAATGAATTGAGGGGAAAATATTGCATCGAATTGTTCACAAGAGTTAACTTCATTATTTGGGAGGGCAGCCGATTTTAACAACCGTCCATGTATAACATATATTAAATCTAACTAACTGTCCCTCCTAATTAATCTATGTTTTTTACGGAACAATAACCTATATTAAATCTAACTAACCGTCCATCCTAATTAATCTATGTTTTTTACGGTACATCTTTCTTTGAAAAGAATATAAATCCTCCAGGCTCAAAAATTTCAATTTGATTAGGACATCTAAATAAAAGATGCACATGACACATGTTATGATCCCTTATATACAGTGTTCTAAAAAGGGGTGCCGCCTAAGTGCAAAGCTAGAACAAAACGCCTCATTTCAAACTTTTTTGCGCTTTTTCATTTTTTTAATTTTTAATTTTTAAAATTTTTTTTTACGCCTAGGCATGCCTAGTGTGCGCTTTTCTAACCTTTTTTTTACGCCTTACAATTGTTTTTACGCTTTTTTTTCATTTAATTATTAAATAAATTTTAGATTGATTTAAAAATTTAAAATAATATTGAAATAAGAAAACGCTTTTTAACATCTAGACTTCACCTAAACTCAACCTCCATGCTTTACGCTTTTTAAAACACTGCTCGTATGTATCCAAATTCCTTCACTTTGTAAGCATCTTTTTCCAAGGTAAAGCCACCACTATGGCCAAAAGATTGCCATATGATTGATTATAGGGATAATTGCAGCAAAGGTATCAAACATTTCATTTAGTAGTAGACTTTGCTCAAATATTTCATTTGTGCCACCCACGTAATCAAAACTTTCAAAATGTCGCACCTAAAGTCCAAATGGATTATTTTTGTTAGTTTGATTGTTAGTTGACCAAAAAATTGACACTGACATTAATTTTGACTAATTTTAAAATATTAAAATGGTAATTTTATATTTTTTATAATAAAATAACCAAAATCAAATAATTAAAATTAAATACTCATTTTCACATTCTTCTTCTCCATCCAACCCACACATACCCACCCCCACTCCAAATCTACAAACCCCATGTTGCTCAAAGGAAAACCGTTAAGCTGAGAATTCATCAACAATGGAGCATCTGCAGCCATTACCTTTGAGTATAACAATTCTCGTATGACGCATGCTTCAACGTTTAGAAATTAGATAGAGGGTAGCAAGAATTAATTAGAAACGGAAAAAATGTCTCCACAAAAACTGAAGCAACATTCTATACCAGTTTATAAATCCAACAAATAAATTCTTTTTTTTTTTTATCTGTAAACCCTAAATCTAGGTTTTTAATCCACCCGATTGCCTGAATTTAACTGGCCAGATAGTGATGCAAAACCACCAAAAGACCTTGTCCTTAAAAGAGCACTGTTAATGGGACCAGATTTTCTAGATCTGGAGCCATCCATAGGTATAAATACTTTATCGAATTCTCCATACTCATGGCAACGGAGCTCATTGTTGGAGTTTTTTCTTTTGGTTGCCCAGGCCGGCCCAACACATAAAAGTCATTACTCAACTTATGAGATGGAAAACGTGAACCCAATGGCCTACTACTTCTTGGGCTCAAAGTGTCGGAGCTTGTTGTCATTGTCGGCGTGGTTTCGCTGGTCTTCGAGCCCAAAAGGTGATGGTTTTGGGGTGGGTGGGTGAAGTTGGTTTTTAATTTTAATGATTTGATTTTAGTTATTTTATTATAAAAATGTAAAGTTACCATTTTAACCTTTTAAAATTAGTCAAAATTATTGTCAATGTCAATTATTTGGTCAACTAACTGTCAAATTAATAAAAACCATCCATTTGGACTTTAGTTGCGACAGTTTGAAAAGTTTGGTACTGTGGGTGATACAAATAAAATGTTTGGTATCGTGAGTGGCACAAATGAAAGGTTTGAACAAAATTTGCTACTAAATGAAAGATTTGATACCGCTGCTACAAATATCCCTTAATTATACGCATTTTCCATCCATTAGCTTTCAGTTGTCACGCACAAAAACATAATTACCATGTGCACCTACCTACAACTTAAATTACTTCATTTCCCAAGTGGCTAGTTTATTCGAGCAAACTAGACGAAGCGAATCTAGTTTCATAGCATAAGGCAGCCGCAACTTTTTGTCTTCAAAAATATTATCAAATTCTCTCCATTTCTATTTGCACGCTTTTCAAATCATTTAGGCATTTTTGTCAAATTAAACAAAGAGTTATCAATCCAGTTACACATGTTCTCCTCCTTTTTCCACCGTTTTCGAACCATCTAGTCGTTTTTGTCAAACCAAGTAAAATTGACGAGAGTTTTTGCATGATCGAATGGACATATTTAAGAATGTTTACGAGTAACAAATTTCATTTTTTATCAAAATGTATTTCATGATTATTTTCAGCCCTTATGAAAACCTTGCCAATAACATATTTACAAGGCGTGTCAATATGTAAGTTATATAATTCACGGGAAAAAAATGTAAAAAATTGATGGCCGGTTCTAAAGTTTGTCAATTTAATTATTTTTAAAGCTTAATGGAAGCAGCCCAAATTATCTTAGAAATTTTTTATTGTGACAATGCCGAATGTTATAAATAAAAACTACTTTAGGTTGGTAACGTTCATTATCAACTTTTTAAGTTCTTCTTTATGGGAGGAGGTAAAAGATAAGAGGATAAAAAAGAATAAAAGAATTAATTGATACCCACAAAAATTAGACCTCAAACTAATCATGAATTACATGTATAAATTTGATCTTATTTCTAAGCTTAAAATTCACTATTTTAATTAAATTTCACAAATTTTTACTCTTCAAGATAAAATAGACATAAGTCACTTCTATGTGGTGTTCTTTAATGAGAAATAAATTTAATAATTAAGCCATGTTTGGTTTAATTAAAAAAAAAAAAAGATTTTTAGTAAAATTTGATAAAAGTTGATGAAATGTGTAATTGAAAAGTCGGTAAAAGTTATAGATTTCATAGTGGTGGCAAACGGGCCAAGCTGTTCGGCTCATGAAAAGGCGGCTCGAGCTCGTCATTTGACAAGCTCGAGCCGAGCGGGCTGCCTAGCCACGAACTCATGTTGACGAAGGGTTAATTTTTTATAAGGTTCATCTTAAAAAAAAATTACGAGCTCACGAACCGAACAGAGGCTCGACTTGTTATAAACGAGCCACGAGCTCGGCTCGTGACGAGCATGGGCCAAGCTCGTGTGCATACAGGCCGAGGCTACTCGACTCGGCTCGGCTCATTGTCATCTCTACGATTCCATGACATGTGTGATTGAACATGAGTTTAAGGAAAAATGAGTTTTAAAAAATGAAGATCAAATAAGGATTAAATTTAATCTTCGTTAACAATTTAATTTTCAAATAAGAATTTTCACTTCTAACACCGCAATTTTTTGTCATAAGAAGTCATCTTTATGTTGTTTCATCCAAAAGAGTTGATGAAAAAAATTTCAAGACAAATTTTCTTTATTAAAAGTAAAATTTCGAAAAATGAGAATCTATTGATTGGAAGAAAGGCATCAATTGACAACCTCCGGGGGAGGGTATATATTAGATGTAAGAATGGTGTCCAATAATTTAAATTCCAAAGAAGCCAAACTTCGCTATCTTATGCCCATTGGCCTTCTCTAATGAGTACATATACCATTTATACTTTTATAGTACTAGAGTTTTAATTAATTAAGCAAATGATTTGATCCAGCTTCCCACTAGTTTGGCATGATCTAGCCTAACATTAGGGTCGAGTCGAACCAAATCACGATCTTTTTCAATAAGCGTGGAGATGGACGTGGATGTGGACGTGTCGTACCGGATGGAAAGGTTCCTTGAATCACTTTATCCTGTGGAATCACTTAAATGAAATGAAATATCCCTTTCTTATCTTCTTTTGCTCCAGGGGGACATTTGAAAACACCAGTTGAGCATGTAATTGACCATTTTTGTTATGAAATTCACTTCCTTAATTTTGCATTTATTGAGAGCAGACGTGACGAACTTTACAAAGTGAAACAAACAAAATTCAGAAAGTTGTAAAATAACTGTTGCAAAGATCAATAGAAGAAAGGAATTGAAACTATAAATACAGATGCAAAAGTAACATAGTGATTTTAATTAAATCAAATATCCAAGTTATCACTGCCTTCATAGTCAAAATATGCAATTACCCAGCCAAGGAACAATGTGAACTAGGCCTAATGCGACTCCAAATAGTTTTGATAATTTTGATTTGTTTCCGAGGTGAACTAGGCCTAATGCGACTCCAAATATTTTCCATAGAAGTTGAAAAGTATTTTCCATTTTCCAAGTTATTGCATGTTTGATTGGCCAAAAATTCCATAAAATTGGTTTTCCTTCTTAAGCCCCACGTGACCCNTTTTTTTTGACAATTGAAACAAATTATATCTCTTTACTAGACAATTTTCATGGTAAATAAAGTCAAACGAATACCAAAAGATCCAAAATTTTAACATTTTTCAGGTGAAAAATTATACCAATTAAACACAATTAATTGACAATTCTCAGTAAAACAAATTTGAGGCAATTCAATTCCCTGAAATTCATTTTCTTTTCACCCAAATTTCATTATTGCAATTAAACGAACCCTTAATGTTACGAACTCCCTAGACAACCAAAATCTAGAACGACAAGAACTGAGGGGAAGAGTATAGATGTGCACCAGGGAAACACGATCACCATAGTGAGCTTAGATGAAATAAGGTTGAGGTTAAAACGCTTCGTCTAGTGATTCAGTTGCTCTTCTTGCCAAAACCAAACAATTTCCTTAAGAGCCGGTCTTATATCCCGTTTTAAAATCTTCTGATACTCTATTGTATCACCACCGGACTTTTTCAGCTCAACCAAATGAAAGGATGAACTGATTTCGAAAATTTCCACATCAATGGACAAAGTCCAACTTCTAGTCTCATTACACCCTTCAAGTCTCATGAAACCTTGATTCTCCTTCACTTTGAACTTTAGATGCGTAGCAATGTCTACAAATTTTGATATGATAGCAGAAGTATTTTTGGATGTAAATTGCACTTCCTACTTTTGATCATTTGCCACGAACAAACCAGACAATCAAATCCAGTTGAAAGAGATATAATGTCAAATGCATTCAAGTTATTAGGTTTTGTAAATTCTAGCTTTGTCCCAATAGGATTATTACTCTCAGGAGGACCAGAAACAACATTAGTATCGACTGGAGACATTTCCTTGTCTCCTACCTCAGTGGATACCTGTCTCAAGTCCAAACCATTTCTGAACCAGGAGCTTTCCATAATTTTGGCTATAGAAATCCTAGTATAAGGGTTGGGATCAAGAATCCGGGAAAGCAGCCTTCACACATTTGGTGGGAACCAATAAGGAAATCTGTAATCGGCGTTAATTATTTTCCTATACATATGCACAGTATTTGAATCACGGAACAGAAGATAACCAGCAAGTAGAACAAATAAGATCACCCCACAAGACCAAATGTCAGCTCTCCCCCATCGTAGCCTCTTCTGTTAATCACCTCAGGAGCAACATATGCTGGAGTCCCACAGGTTGTATGGAGTAACCCGTCCTGCTGCTTGGATTCAGCCAATGCGCTCAACCCAAAATCCATCACTTTTAGAATTCCATTCTCATCCAGCAGAGGATTTTCTGGTTTCAAATCACGGTGGTAAACACCCCTGCTGTGGCAAAAACCAACAGCACTGATTAATTGTTGAAAATATTTTCTAGCAATATTCCCTTGGCCACACTGTAAAAAGCTCCCCACCTTTAGCATATTCCATTATGAAGTAAATCCTAGTTTTGGTAGCCATAACTTCATAAAGCTGCACGGCATTTGGGTGTTTAACCATTCTCATAACAGATCTCTCTCACTTGGTTTGATTTATCAGCCAATACTTTTTCTTTATTAATTACCTTGATAGCCACACTGTCTCCCATTTAAGATTTCTACTATAATAAACTTGGCAAAATTGCCTTGACCTAATAATCTCCAAACCTCATATCTTTGCATCAATATGTTTCCCTTCTTCTCCATTGCAAAGAATAAACACTACTACCCTAATATAAATATTATTCTCCTACTGGAACAATTTGTATTACTTAAAAGACAGGTAATCTTGAAGATAAAAGAACTCAACTGTCTTCCACAAGGTCGTCAGGAAGTTGGAAAGCTGTGGCTCTATTTCGCATCTGACTGCAAAACATGATATTATGATCTGTGTACCCAACATCATCGAGGATGAACCCAACACTATCATGTTTTGCAGTCAGATGTAAATTCGCTTCCAGGTCTGAGAGGGGGACAGAGATGTATGTGCAATTGTGCATGTTTGTGTATATACGTACCCGTTAAATATTAGTTACCTAAAGAACTAATGCTTACACTGGTTGCGAAAATTCATTCCGGTAGTTTTAATTTTAACATTTGTATTCTTAATTCAATCTTTTTGTCACCTGCCATGTTTTAATTTTGACATTTGTATTTCCATTTCAGAGTTAAATGTTTCATTAGTCACTGAACTTTACACTATGTCACGGGTTACTCACCGAACTTCCAAACTTGTCCCGTTGGCCACTGAACTTCACTCCATCCAACTCCATCACTCATTGGCTAAAAACCGTTAACAAACGCTCCTACGTGGATGACGGAAAGTTGAGGTGGCAGTTAAATTCGTCCAAATAATTTCTGGAGAGCCAACTCACTGCCAAATAAGCATGGGCATATTGTTGACCCTGTTACTTTTAATCAAGTATTGAAAAATTCTGAATCACATAAATAGATAAATGCTATGAATGTTAAAATAATTCTAAGGAATATAATAAATTTTGGGAACTTGTTGAACTTCCTCCGAATTCTAAAGCCATTGATAACAAGTGGATCTTCAAAAGTAAATTGGACTCAAATAGGGAATGTTGAACAAAAGAATGCAAGATTAGTTGCAAAATGGTTCACTCAACGAGATGTCATTGATTATAATGATATTTCTTCACCTGTTTCATCCAAATATTCTTTTCGAATTATCATGGCACTTGTGGCACATTATAATTTGGAGCTTCATCAGATGGATGTTAAGATGGCTTTTTTGAATTGAGATTTTTTTTTTGGAAAGGGTTTACATGAGACAACCTGGAGATTTTGTTATGAAGGGAAAATAAAACTTGGTTTTGTTGAAAATACAGTCGATCAATGTATTTATCTTAGATTCAATGGGAGAAATTTTATTTATCTTGTCCTGTATGTTGATGATATTTTACTTGTAAGTGGTGATTTGGCTCAGTAGGTCTCAGTCGAATCCAGGGCAAGAGTATTAGATAGCGGCTAAGAAAGTTATGAGATACTTAAAGAAAATGATGCTCATTTTCAGCATTCAAATCACCTTGAGGTGATAGGCTACTCAAACTCAAATTTTGCTGGATGTCAAAATGATTTGGAATCAACCTCAAGTTATATTTTAATGTTGGTTGGTGGTACTATCTTGTGGAAAAGTGTGCAGACTCTAGTGGCATCCTCTAATATGCAGGCTGAATTTGTGGCATGTTATGGAGCTACAATTCAAGTCGTTTGATTAAGGAATTTTAATTCTGGGCTGAAAATTGTTGACTTCATCTCAAGGTCAATCATTATTTATTGTGATAATAGCACAGTAGTGTTCTTTTCAAGAAACAATAAAATTCTAATGGATCAATACACATTGACATCAAATATTTGGTGGTTAGAGACGAAAATATAGCATATCGATACAGAGGTGATGATTGCAAATCCTTTTGACTAAGGGACTCACTACTAATGTTTTTACGACACATGTTGCTTATATGGGTATTGTGGAAATTCTTTATGTTTTTGGTTAGTATGAGTTATTTATGTAAGGCAACTCATATGTTCTTCGGGTACAGCCTCTTCTAATAATAATATATTTTTTTCCCTATCCATAAAATATTGTGTGCATGCATTTGACTTATATCTTTTATTATGATATCATTTTGATCTCGAGATAGGCAATTAAAGACATAAGATGAGTCTCTTTTGAGACATGTGGCTTCATTTTGATTAGAAGCATTTTGAGGACCGATATGAATTAGCACAGTTTTAATCACATTTGGTGCTAAATTCATACTGTATACTACCACATTGGTTGGAGGATGGGGATTCATGTCGATAAGGATGTTGGCATTTGTAGTTGTGGAGTGATCTTACATCGTTTGATTGGTGTAACGACTTTCATGTTCGATATTAGCATTTTTTGTTGGACCGGATCATATTGTGTAAGGTGTTATTATTGTAGCTATACTTGTGTTGCCACCGATGTAGTCTGACCCGGATGTTAGAATTTTTTCTATAGCAATCAAGCGTTTGCCCAAGTGGGAGAATGTTGAAATTATTCTATTATGTGAGCTTCCATTTGATTGCAATTTTTATGAGTTAGATGTATAGTTTGCAACAATACTGTGATTAGACCCAATATGTTAGTGATCACTTGAGCCGTTGTACACCTTACGGGCTATATTATTATAATGTAGTAATTTTAAATATGTGGACCGTAACTAAGTAAACCCTAATTAAGGTTAGAATCGGTAATGAGCTGACTTTATGATTTCCTTTATAATGGCTAGATCCCCTCTCCTCTCCATATCGGATTGGCTTGCCCCCATTGACGGCTGATTATTTTTTAGAAGCAAGGAGATGAAGATTTAGCTGGTAATATTCATAAACAAAAATATCTTCCACATGTATAAATTTCATCTACCAATTTAGAATACGTGATTCTTGTTCTTAGCATGGTTATTGAATAATTACAACAACACATTTCACTTAGATACATTGTATGGGATAAACAATAGCAACAGTTGCAGTTCATGCTTACACAACATAAACCATGCCAACCTCAAGAAGAGATGCTGGAGGCACCTTCAACACCACATCCGGCCCCCGGCAGTTCCTTCTCAGGAAATTATAACCAAAATTGATGGCAAACCTTTTCAACAGAGACGACCCTTGTTTTGCCTTGACATGAGAGTGCCCGAGTATGAATGCAGTCCCAGCTTGTTGAGCTACATGTAGATCACGTAGTTCTTCACTTAGTTGAGCGTCCATTTCCGACCCTGGATCTGCTTCAGAGTTGGTGTCTATAGCGAACCGAACTCTTCGTTCAACGTCTAAGGGCTCCATCTCAATTATATCTGTTACACTGTCGACTGTTGAGAAACCAACAGACAAACTTGCTGGCTGCACAGTTTCCTCGGTTTCGAAAGGTGGTCCTCCATAGATTGCTACTCTTCCGATTACTGCCAATCTACACTCGCTTGATGCACCGGATCGATAGCCATCATCCTCGTTGCATATATCTATAATGCCATGCTCCTTGTACCAATCATAACGGATAAAATCAGCCAGCCTATTTATGAGTTCAGATTCAAAAGAATCAACATCCTGGTGAACATCACGGTATCCATATCGTACAATGCACCTATATGAACGATGAGCTGCAGGGCCCACACGGCCCACAAGGTACCTCTCGTCTGGGGGAACAAATGGTACTGGTACCGACTTTATACACACGAAAACAAGGAGACGGTGGAAAGCAGGGAGATTGGTGACAAAACGAGAAAAGTTTGCAGGAATACCAGAGGTCAAATCAGTGAACACAATGCCAATGCCAGGGACCCGAGCTATACCTAGGCTGGGACCTAAGGCCAATAGCCACTCCAAGGAAACCTTGTTTTGGAGGTCATATTCGTATTTCTTAATGGTGGCATAGTGCCAAACGAACATAATGGTAACAAGAAAGAGTGCAAGCAGGATGGGAAGCCAGGCACCTTCAAGGAACTTGACAAGGGAAGCAGAAAAGTAGAGTAATTCAATAGATCCAAAGAAAAGTAGAAAGATGAAGGCCAAAATTGGAGGTTTTTGCCAACAGAGGATGATCACCAATGAAGTGAGGCAAGTAGTCACTAGCATCACTGCCATTACGGCCAACCCTGCAAATGATAGGATAACGATTGTAATAAATAGATGTCCACTAAAACACATTATTTAGTTCTATATTAAATATGCTGTAACATTTTGACAATTAATTCTACTTTCCTGAAGTGAATGAACATAAATGATTTCTTCTAATTATGAAATCCAGTTCCTATTGGATAGCAATGATAGTATTAATGAAAGGAAAAAAAGAAGTTCAAATCTAGTTCGTGATACTATCAAGTCTAGTCCAGTGCTGCATAAATATAATGTAGTCCTTTTTTAGGGATGGTAATAAGATGATGCAGCTGAACATCAACTTGATGCCATATGGGATGATTAAAACGATAATGATCTCAGAAAAAAATAATAATAATTGCGTATGACTCACCTGATGCATTTCCCATGTGTTTTGTGTCCCTGAAGCCAATAGTGACAGCAATGCAAAGAATCATGAGCATCCAGTTGATCTCAGGGATGTAGATCTGGCCATGTATCTTATCGGACGTGTGAACAACCTTAACCCTTGGAAAGCAACCAAGTGATTGACTCTGGTTGATTATAGAGAATGTTCCACTGATTATTGCTTGACTTCCGACAACTGAAGCAAGTATTGCTATCACAAGTACTGGCCACCTAACACTTTCTGTTTACAAAATATCGAGAGACAATGTTATTAATAGAATAAAATCCTAATCTATTGAACAGAATTTCGTCTACTTAAATCATATTTCATTTGATACATTTCAGTAAATCCTCTGGGAATGAAAGAAAAACTAAGGACACACAAAAATGCAACACTTTTTACGATCAAG